AACAAACCACTGGATGTTTCTTTCTACTTTTGAAGACATTTCGCTTCCCATCCAGGAAGCTTTCTCAATTCAAAATGTCATTGTCAAAATGTAAAATTACATTTTAAATTGAGACTTTTTCAAATACTTTTTTTTACTTTTTTGGCATGACTATAATCTGGATGAATGATAATCATCACCAGTTTTTTCTGATTGGCAAAGACAGGACAGGTTATATCGCTGATTAACAAATCCAAAACGTACCCCCTGCCTTCTTGCGTTTCTGTGCTTGGCTGCCCTCACTAGATTTTCACTGATTTCAGACTCTGGCCCTGACTAAGACTGTCTTTACTGTTACCAGCCTGTTAAGGCCTGCTATTAGCCTGCCCAGTCAGTTGCTAGTCTGTTCAGTTATCATCCACCTTCTCAAGCGTGATATCAGCCTGTTCAGCCTGTCACACCTTTGTTCATCCATCATCTGCCTTTTCAATCCTGCTACCAGCATGTTCAGGCATCTTCCACCTTTGCAGTCTGCTACCAGCCTGGTTAATTTGCCACATGCATCCAAAAAATAATTTTATCAAAAAAAACATGTCTTGATGAATATCAGGTTCTCTGAAGACTCTGCTTCTCAAAATCGGTCTTTTGTTAAACCAATTTCTACCACTCCCCCTTTGCACTTACCCTGAGCCCTCCCAATGAGGTATGTCCCCCACTTTGGGAAAAAATACATTGGGTGATAATATTGCTACCCTTTAGGTTTCATTAATATATATGTTTAATGCTACCTGCATGCCGTTTCTTCTTGTGAGCTACCATGGCAACCATTAACCACTGCTGTAGGTATTAACATTCTGATGTAATAATTAGCTCACTATGCATGAATGGAGTAAAAATTGTCCAATGTCACATTAAGTCTGAAAAATGCCAGGGTTTTACTTAGAAACACAACATGTTTGAAGCTTGGCAAGGCGTGAAGGCAACAAACTAGACAAGAATATATGAAGGTTCCACTAGCTCAATGGAAAGCTGTGTTTCTGAGTTTTCCAGCAGACTGGGATGTTTTCCCTGGTGTCAAAACCTTTATGCACATGGCCATCGCAAAACAGCAAAAACCAAGAAACAAGTAGAGTTGTTTCTAAAAAAAAAAAAAGCTTAAAAATGTAAGTACAAATCAAATCCTCTCCTCAGTGTGAGGTCATCTATGAGCTTTAAACTAAAAAGAAAACACTGGACAGATTGGGGAATTTTCAGGCCTGCAGTGCCCATGGCTTTACACAGCAGCTCATTAAAGCAAGAAAAACACAGGCACTGAATAAATATGGGCCAAAACATTCACAGTATGTTTTAATGAGCAGACATTTTCTGATTTTCTTGTAATCTACTAAGTGAATTTCCCAGCTCTGCTGTGCTAACATAGTAAATGTCAGCTTGGTATTGGCACTTAATCTGTTGAGTAGAAGATAACAGAACAGATTGTAATCCCAGATAAATTGACATAGACAGAAAACACATGTGAATAAACAAACACACCCACACACTCACATAGACATATCCCAAATGAATTTATGCCAATATGTGATTAAAACTGGATCTTTTTAAGCAATCTGGAGTAAGCAGCAGCAGGCTGGCAAATAATTTTAGCTCTGCATAATGCTTGCTCATTTTGTCAAAGCTGTTTTAGTTTATTTATTTAGGGTGGGGTGGGGTGGGGTGGGGGGCGGGAGCACTACCTGTGCGATCTGTAAATGGTTTTCCATGCTTGCAACAAAACTAGTAGCAGTAGTGGAGTTTGGAGATGCAATCCACTTCTTAAATCTATCTTTGTGCTCCTTTAATCTATCCAGAAGTACTGCAATCGCACTTTTTCTCTCACTCCCAACTTGTTGGTCAGCTGCACATTTAGCATGCCTTCCCTGGAAATGCCTTTCCAAATTACTCTTTTTATTATTTGACAACTCATTACAAAGTAAAAATGCAGGCAATCTTTACGCATTGGTAATGAAAGCAAATGATTGGGTCCATTTTTCTTTGAATCCTCTGTTCTCACCCGCTATCTTCCTTTTTATTCCTTTTGGGATCCGTGGCCCAAAGCACACCCGCAGCTTGGTTTACAACCCCCACCTGCCTAGCACCGTGCCGCGCTGAAATGTGTGTTGCAAGCCATGACAAAAAATGTAATTGACAGAAATGTTTACATGTATTGTTTAAATATATTCATTATACACATTTTTAAAGCATTGAAAAACACAATGAATGTTTGTTTAACCTCCTGCACACCATATTAGAACAAACAAACAAAATCCATTTTTTTCAATTTTTGCAATGAAAAAGTCGCTAGGGGGGCATTAAAAAGCGGCATGCGGCTCTGTAGCCCGCAGCTTGCCGACCCATGGTGAAGAGTATTTCTTTTCTATGATTTCCAAACTATAGGCTAAGCCTTTAAAAAAGCAGTATTAGGGCCAGGAATTTGTGGTAGAATTTAGGAGAACTTTGGCAACAGTGACTTAATTATTTAGTCTTTTGCTACATTAAGTTGATTTTTTAATTCAGCAATGAAGATTAACACAACTTTCCCCCCCCCCCCCCCCCCCTCTCTCTCTCTCTCTCTCTCTCTCTCTCTCTCTCTCTCTCTACATATATATATATATATATATATATATATATATATATATTGAATGCCATTACAGGAAAGTCAGACCCATCTTCTTGATGTAAATGAGCTTAAGCTGCGGAGTTTATTTTGTTTATTTCCAGTTATTTTAGAGCAAAAAGGACATTTTCAAGAAATGGAAACAACTTTAACAGCATACTTTGACTCTTTTTAAGTGTGGCATTTTTGTCTTAGTATCTTGCAAGAAAAGACCAAAAAAACACATTCCAAAATCCTTCAGACTTGATGCCACAGTGTAGATTCGGGGGACCATAAAGAATGATAATGGTTGTGTCTGATTGTCCTTCCCTTTTATAAGAATCACAAGAGACAGACATAGCAACAATACTTAGCTAGGCCGTGTTAGGTGCCAACAAAATTTCTGCCACAGCATTACACCACCAGCAGCCCGAATTGTGTGTAAAAGGTACGGTGGATCCACTTTCATGTGGTTTACTCCAAAGAGTTTTCTGAAAACCACAAATCAGACCAATAAACATTTTCCCACCTAATATAATCCATTTTGGATCTGAAACAGTATATGCTGACCGGAGTGGAAGCATACCTGCTTCAAGTTAATTGTAATGGTAATGAGTTTGCAATGTCTTTGTAATTATTTGTTTTATTTGTAATGAGTGGTTATTTGAGCTAATGCTTTTATGTATTATTTCAAACCTGTCTACCACTGTCATTACTGGATAGGTCTTTTTTCAATTTTGTTAAAGCCAAAGAAAGAAAGTTTTACGTTAAATCCACATGCACAACAATCGAGTGTCCAAATTAATCTCCTTATTTTATGAATGGTAAGGGGAACCAGGTTGGTGACTTCCCACTTCTGCATGCTTCTAAACAGCGATTCTCTAGCTTGGACAATGACTTATCTCAGGAAAACTTCCAGTGTGAGACACAAACTGAAACATGCAACTTAATTTTTAGTTTTGCTTTGTATTAACTTTTTGGAAACAATTATATTTTGCAGTTATTACTTGCCTATAGCAAGATTTCATATGATGAGGTTGTTGGAAAGGTAAGTACATCATCAAAGTAACAGAAGCTACCAAGCTAAAAACCAAGCCAGGGCTACTCTATCAAACTGCCTCATACACATGTGTAAGTTTCTAGAATCACTTTCTTTCAGTTATGAGACCTGGACCGCAAAGGAACAAAACTAATCACTTCACTTCATTACAACAAATTGTGGATATTGTAAAGCTAAAACAAAATCTCCAAAACATAGACTGTCAATATTTGATAGAAGATGTAATTTATCCTACAGATAAACATAGTTTTACTTTGCTGATAAATGCTCAAGGCAGCTGCAAATCTGAATAACTTATTGGATATCCTTTAATGTAGACTTAGATATCCAGATAAACGTATGTCATATTTTCTACCTCAAGCAAGGGAACTGATTCTAGGATGGAATTCTCAGAAGCTGATCTTGAAAAAACCCTGTCTAAAGCCCTTTAATTAACACCTGACTATGCTATATGAAACCCTTTGGCATAATTGACTTGTTCTTCACATCACAGTTATCACTGCACCAAATTCTAACCCCAGTCACTAGAAATCAGCAACTGATTTATTACTGGTACAATTAGGCATTAGTGTCTAATACAGGGGTCTGCAACCTGTGGCTCCAGAGCCACATATGGCTCTTTGGACCCTCTCCAGTGGCTCGTAATAGTAGCTAAAATGTATATAAAGAGCTAAATAATTTACTATAATATATACCGGTATCAATAGCTTTAGCGTTTTTTTATAAGATGGAAAAGAATGAGATTAAAAGAACCAGAAATATGTTTTAAGAGACATTTTTCTATGAATTAGCTTGAAAATTATATGTTTTAACATTAAAAAATACATGATTGTTGATTGTTTGAGATGGCAGCAACTAATTTCCTATACAAGACTTAAAAAAAAAAGGTTTACTAGAAAAAGTCATGTTATATTTTGCGGCTCTAAACAACTTTTACTTGGTCGAACTCTGGGCAAAACGGCTCTTTGGATATGAAAGGTTGCAGGCCCCTGGTCTAATATATTAGCAGGTGAGTAACTGCATGATTGGAATTCTTATATGAATGCATTTTATAAACAGTAGCTTTGAACCTGAAAAGAAGCTCTGAATATCTTAGTATTGCATTTTTTATTTTATTTTTTATTTTTCTTAATGGATATGCGTTTCTTTGCATGGGAATTTGGATAGAGATCCAAAATTTAAATATTCAGTATCAGTAAATTAAATTAATAATAGACCTCTGGTGGCCTAAATACGTTAACCTAAATACACAGACAGAGACAACTTGTTACTAATAAGCCTAGACCAACACCGCATTTAGCATTCTTAGCGCCGCATCCCGCAGTCCCGATGACACGCACCAACACTTTCATGTCAGCTCGCGCGCTCAGGCTCCACAGCAGGAGCAGCAACAACAGCTTTGTCCCGCACAAAACGATCAAACGGCGTTCAGTACGGGACAGATCCCGCAGCCTCTCACTGCAGCATGGCAACAGAGGTAAGGAATTTCCCGATTCTAGTTAGTAAGAACTCTTTTCTTTCCTCTTCCTATTTTTATCCTGCCAAGTGCAGGTGGGGAATGCGGTACTGTAAACTGGATGTGATGCATTTCTTTTCTTCCTATATGGTTAACAACTGATTGAATATTACTGATACTGCAACGAAGTGCAGGGAGGGTTGCTTTTATGTACTTGTACTCGTATTATGTTACAAATTACATGGAAATTTCTATTTCTTTTGGTTATTGCAACTGAGACAAATTTTATTATTCTAAATACTTAGTCTACCTTAAAGTAAGAACAAAGATTTGTTCAACAATCATAGAGACTGTTGATTCACGTGGTAGCTATGCAATTTATGATGAAGAGTATTAATTATTATATTCAGCACCTTGGACAGTCACAGCCTCTTGGCTTCAACTGCATCATACTTAACTCCTCTTAAAAAGCTTCATATTCCCTTGACCTTGCATATCCTTTGACACAGCTCTGAGGCTCCTAAAACTGATTACCTCTGTTAACCATCTCATATTCATGTCCTGCTATTATTTATTTCAGATTTATATGACTTGCAAATCTAAAGATCTGCACTGATGTCCTTCTTTCTATTTTGTCTGATTGCACAACTAGTTGCCTTAAAAACGAGGTGCTGGTTTATTTTTAGACCTAGTAATGCCTGGTAGCTGTTGGGCCACATGTCCCTTCCTTCTATTTGCCCTTGGCCAAAGACATCGCCTGATGCCTGATGAGGTGTCATAGTGAAGAACTCAAGATTATGCTGCTTTCACTTTGTGGTGACTGCAAAGCCATGCATTGATTTTCTTTTCCTAAATGTATTTCATAGATAAACCATAGTGTTCTATGCCAACCCCCTCCATATACTAAGAAAATCATACCTGTATACTAACATAGATGAATATCAGTTAATTATCCTATTATTAGTGAATCTTTTCAATGTTATTTAGCTGATGCAGTTAAAAAACAAACAGTAACAATCTATGAGAATAGTGTTGCTTCTTGTACATGCTATTATTCCTTTTGTCATGTTTATTGCATGTTAAATAATGAAATCGGGGCTTGTACATACTGTTTGCATGGGTCATCAATCATCTCAATTTCTTTCACATCTTAGTAAATATTGAGCTGTCAAGAGGCCACCTGACAAAAGAGCACTGAACAAGGAAGACATGTGAGAGATTTAAATGAGATGTCTGCTGTCTTTTCTTAGTGTAATGTGTGTGTGGGTGTGTGTGGAGGGGCGTCTGTGTGTGTGCCCATCGGTAATATTCACCTATGTGGAAGCTGTGTATTTATTAAATCAGAATTACTTAACTTGGCACCATGTCATGCACAGCAAAGAAAAAATAATAGAACTCAGGCCAAACTTCAAATCGTACAACATTTTAGCAAAAAGGGGAATTGAAAGGCATATTCCTCCATGCAACCTCACACTCCTGGTTTTGTTGGTCTTTTATGATATAACTATAGCGTACCTGTCTGCTAAGTGCAATGTAATTACAAATTATTTGCCTCTTAACAGTTTTGTTGGTAGAGACTCTGATCCAAAAACAATGACTTCTGTCTTGTCCTAATTCAAAAGCTGAAATTTGGAATACATGTAAAGTACATTACTGCACATTCTTCCATATCACACTAAGAGCCTGTGTAGAGCTAATGAAGTTGACATCAGGCCAACTGATTCTGATTTGAGTAAACAAAGCCCTGCCGTGTCTTGATGATTACATCTAAATAGGATGAAAGATGTATCCTAGTAAGCCCAATATAGATACTGGGCTAAAAATACAGAGAAAGCAAAGACAGAGATATTAAAAGCTCTAGCTGTGAGATAATGCTGGCTGGTAGCAGATGAAAATAGAAGCTTAGGTTCTATTCCTGGCTATGATTGATGTGGGCCTTTTAGCACAAAGATGAAAGGCGCACTCTGTACCGTGTCTGTTTACATGGGCTCACTACCTTCCAATTATAACAAGACTCCTGTGGCCAGCAAAACTCTGCAAAAGAACCACTGATCAAGAGTTAGCTTGTTAATTTTGGTATATTGTTGGGGCATTCCTTGAGAATATAAATACCTTGAAGAAGCTTAAGGGTCTGACTACAGCCTCATGCGCCTTGCTGAATATTCCTACACTTCCTTTGTTGTTTCTCTCTGTCTTCTCTCTGCTTCTTCTTGTATGCTTTTTCTGTATCACTAATTGCCCTTCCTTTGGGACAAGTAATTTAGATCAGCATGAGAAATGTTTGCTGTAGCTGTTTTGATGCAAAAAGGGGTCTTTCAGTGTGCCAAAATTGAAACTGGGTCTGGTGTAGCTCAAGTAAAACCACCAGACCACTACTGCAAGCCTACACTGCACTTGAAACAAGAAGTCCTTAAATCTGTCAGCAAAATCAGGTAAAAAAAGCAACCAAAATATTTTTTTCTATTAAAAATTGCTTCCAGCTTCCAGCCAGCTTCCTATTAATAACTTCCTCCCTTTTTCAAATGGGATACGTTGTCTAAAGCAACAACCCTGTTAATTTGACAACCCGGTTGTCAATTTGTGAAGGAGAATAAATTAAATGGCTGCCATTTTCATTATCATTCAGAGATACAGCTAAACTCATGATTTCGGCACTAGTGCTGGTCTGATTCACAAACTTGCGCAACTAAGCCCTTTTCTCATCAGCCTTTATCAGATCCACCTGTACCACTGTCTATATAAACACCTCTCAGACCAGTCACCAGTGTCAGATTATTACGAGCCACCAGTGAGTCTAATCTAGCATTCCTGAAAGCTTGACTGTCTGCCTCCGTGTTTCTGACCATTTTACTGCCCTCTGATTCTCTGAGTCTGCCTAGCCCCTGTCCAACCTGTATAGGTGTGCTGTTTGGTAGTGATGGCAAAATGAGGCTTTCTGAAATATTGCATAATTTTGAACCATTGTTTCATAAAATTGTTCACTACCCGAAGCTTCATTCAAATTCCCTTGGGTGGCATCTACTGGCACTAGCTGTTGTTGAATCAAATAAAATCGTGAGAATATGACACATCTCCCCTGTATATAATAACACTTTATGTTTGTGTTGTATATGTGTTTTAGTACCTCAAGAGGTTCTAAATAATTTGCCCATGAGACAATAATTCATAAAAAAGTGAAAATGTTTTGGTTTGTCATTCATTTTTTGTGTGCTTGGTGCTGACTGTTTTTCTGTTTTTTGAGACAATTTCTCCAGAGAAAAAAAAAATATATATATATATTTCATAGCGAACAAAGTAAGCTGCTGTAATCAGGTACTGTTTAGCTGGGGGGTATAGATTTGGATAGAGAGTTTTGTGCTCCACCCAATATTTCATCAGATCCTCTGCTCAGTCCAGAGAAGGAGCCGATAATTATTACGTTATTCATCTTACCTGTTATGTATATCTTGCATAAAATGGTATCATGAATATTATACTAGTGGATAGTATAGGCTTTAGGCTTTCTATTAATAAACACTGAATGTAAATTACCTTACTTGCTTAAAATTCAAATATTTCCAAATTCAGGAACGCTCCCTTGATGTTTGCTCCATGAACTCTGAATATTAAAAAAAGAGCTGATTGTAACGTATAATCCGTGTAGAACGGGGGCATGAACTGGTCCTTGAGGATCCGAAATACACTGAGTCGCACCAAATGCCTCTCACCTCGAAGCAGTCACCTGAATTGGTTTGAATGAAGCAGTAAAGGTGTTTACTATAAAGATGCAAGCTCCAGCCCACTGCTTCACCCTAACTACCCTGTCGAGTTTTAAGCATGCATTCAAAGCGCGGTGTTGAAGGCAAAGTCGCCACTGATTAGATCTTTTACCCATGTCTGTGCCCTGACTCTGCCCTGGATTCTGCTCTGGATTTCGGATCACCTGGTTCTGACCCATGGATCTGTTCTTGGACCCGGACTCTCGTTATTCATCCTAATCCTGCCTATCTCTGTCATCCTGGTTCTGAACCAATGCCTGTCCTTTGACTGTCTATTACCTGCCAGCCCCATAAGAAAAATCTTCCAAACTGCTCTGACGTTGTGCATTTAAGATATCCCCTTCAGTGTTGTCATGAATGTTGAAATCCCAACCTATAATGATCTTGTCAGTGTTTAACATATTCATAAATGAGTTGAGGTACATGCGTACAATCCCCCTAATATTTTAATGAATGCTAGTGACAAATCTACCATTTTCTTTTCTTTTTTTTGTTATTCTGGCTTCTATATTCCTATTAACCATCTTATCAATCCAAAACATACAAAACAACAGTTTGGATGTATTTTTCGCAAAATTCTATCCTTTGTCATTGGTGCTGATTTCAGGTAGAGTGGAAGAATTTTGAATGTTCATCTTAAGGAATGTTATATTTATGTTATGGACCAGTAGCTGTGGCTGCATAATGCTTGTACCAATGTACTTTAGGCAGCTTGTCTTTGAGTATGGACTTTTTTCTTGTTTACTACCCACCTTGTGGAAGTGTTGCTGTTGCATTATCTTTTGTTTCATTAGTGGTTTAACCTTCAGTGCTTCCTGGGTAATTCCTATACATTTAAACAAAGTTAATTTTATTGAAATTTAATAGATTGGGTCAATTAGTATAAACTTGGACACAAGTGATTATTTACAGCAGGAGTATAATCCTAAACAGATCAAAAAGAGTTTGCAAACTAACACATTAAGGGATTATGAATGAATTAATGTCCATAAGGTTTTATCTAAAACTTACTGAAATTAAATGCATTTCAAACTGTAAATCTGTATCTCTTTTCTACACCACTATTCTGTCTTTTCTCAGTTGCATAACCTCAAGGACATACAGCACACTGCATCGCTGGTTACAAAGGTCTTTATACAACGAGACTACAGTGAAGGAACTGTGTGCCGATTCCAGACCAAATTCCCCACAGAGCTTAACAACAAGGTGAGAACACCTGCAAATCTTTGTAAAACAACTCAAGTGTGTTGCAACTTAAAACTGAATCCTTCACTGTAATGAAGCAAATGTACCTGTTGAATCAGTCTCTATTTATGTCTGACTTTGAAATAAAAGCTAAAAATTTCAACATGCCCTTTAAATGAATGAAACATGCAAATTAACTGACATCATTTCATACAACCTTTCTGGCATTATGTAGATAAAAAAATTGTATGCCTTCTCTGGAAGATCAAATAGTAATTCTTTAACTTTCTGCAGGTTTCTTGAATAAAAGTATTTGCTCTAAGTCCTCATTCTTTAAATAGGTCATGATTTATATTCCAGCACTCAATCAAACGCCACCAAATGTGAAGATAATTTCATCTAACACTGTTTATAAACTGATGAGTTCCACTCAAATGTTATTTTATTTTTACTTTTACTGGTACTAAAGAAATAACTAAGTTTTGGATTGAGTAGACTTTGGATTTCCTAAGGACAGTGCTGTTTCCCAAAATACAAAAGAAATCTTATAGAGTCATATTTAAGTAGAGTTTCGTAGAATTTGCACAGGTACATAGAGTTTACATTGTGTGATAATGCCTGTCAAAACTTAGTCATATTGGTTTGAAAAAAAATCAGCAGATATGTTTCACATATTGCTGTATAGATGCACAACTTGTTGCAACAGCTAAATTTACTTTTTTTTCCTAGGGCTATAACCTTGCCTATGGTTTTTTGTGTTTTTAATTAGATAGAGAGAGCTCTGCTTGAGCAGACAGTGAAGACACTTAACTTGTATTACATGGAGGCTGAAAAAGTTGGAGGTCAGTCATACCTGGAAGGATGTCTAGCTTGTGCAACAGCATACATTGTATTCTTCTGCATGGAAACACGCTACGAGAAGGTAAGTTTACACTGTTAAAATATCAACATTTGATAAACAGAGACATTCTTTTTAAAAGTCATATAAAAACTCTTCTATCTTGTTTGCACAGTGTGTGCAACATATCAACAGATTTAAAAAATTGCTTGTAGATGAAGCAAGACCTGATATGTTTTATATCTAGAACATTAACCGAACTCGGAGCTATTGTGATTACGCCCTAAGAAGCAATTTACAACACATTATCTATTTCGATCTTTCAATTAATATCTATTGACATATACAAATCGAATCAAAGAATGGTCACCAGTTATTTGATTTAATATTTAAAACCCAAGTGTTGCAGGGTCATTGTTTTTGAAATTTTGATCTGCATGTTCATCTCCTGAATTTTATACCAGAGCAGTTTTTAAAACACAGTCCAGTAAGAAACTGCCTGAATCCAGGAGATAGGATCTCCTTTTTATAGCCATCCACTACCTTTAGCATGTTTTTCTGAAGGCTAAACCTGACTGCCGCTGTGTAAAGTGTGGCACACCATCTGTAAAATACTTTTATTCAGCACAGGCAAGATGTCCATCTTGAGAAAGGACAGATGGTTCAACCTGTTCATGGCTGTATTGCTTTTTGCTTCTTGCTGAGATGGAACAAGAACACACAAGCATGCCTAATGCAATCATGCACACAGTCACAGCGAGCTTGATTAATCCTCTTTGTGATTTTTCTGTCAACCTGCCAATGCTTCAGAAGAGATTGGAGTGCCATGAAGTTCCAGCACGTCTCTCTGCTCTGATCTCTGTCTCAGAAACCATTCATCTGCCTCATCTTGTTGCATTTTGTAAACATTGCTTTATCAAAGCTGCACAGGGTTACTGGGAAATTGACCAAGGTACAAAAAAGCATGTTTATTGCTGTGTTGAAGTTATGCTTAAATGGCCTGGCCTGCATCACCTTTCATCTCACTGTCGGGTGGCACCGCTCCATTGAGAGGCTCAGATGCTATCAGCTCCACAGGAGAGTTGTTTATTTACTTGTTTAAACTTTATGAATGCCCCTTTGACTGACAACGATAGAACATACCCACCCAAGTTGAAGCTAAGTGTGCATATTCCTATGTGGCACATAATCATGGTTCTCCAATTCTCTTTAACGTTTACATTCCACCATCAAAAGGCACTTATTGTTACCCACATGTCAGAGCAAGCTTCAGGAAGTCTCCCACACAGACTTTGCTTTGTACAGTACATCTGTTGTTTTGTTTTTCCTCTTTGCTGACAAGAACATAGGTCAGACTATAGCAGTGGATACAAGTTTAAGTTAAAACTTTGTACATAAAATACAATCACATTTTACAAGCCATAGAATAGAGGACTGCTTGTGTTTATTCTGGGTTTAGTCAGAAAAGCTGACACAAAAATACCATCATATCAGTGCAACAGTTAGAATTAATACTTGGATGCCATACATTGAAAGTGAGTTTAGCAGCCCCTAGTTAAAGCTAAAGGCTCCAATATGTTTGTAGTAATATTTTGATTTTACAGGCATGTTTCTTCTGCCCAGAGGTAATGTTTAGATTTGGAGTATTCAACCAAAGTACTGGCTTGAATCTTACAGAGATTCTGTAGATTCTTGGAGCTTATCTTCAAAGATATGTTAATACCAGTGGAAACATGCAAATAGAAGGTCAGTTGTCATAATAAGCATATATTAGTGTAATTACAACAAAATACAATAATTGTTCTATTACAGACATATAGTTATTAAATATTAATATTTATTTGTTTTCATTTAATGTTTTTAGTTGTTTTGTTATTACTTGATAAATACCAGCTCAATTTTCCTTTTGGTTAAATGAAAAAAATAAAATACAATACAAAACCTTTAGGATAGAAACAATTTTCGGCAAAACAGTAGGGTTGCCATGTTATCAGCTGGGCATGCAGCTGCAAAAGAGGAGCTCTGTCCAGGATAACCCTACCTGTACTGTCCAGGATAACTTTGATAATATTCCATTTCTAATATATTTACAACAGGTAGGATCAAAGATAGCTCCGTTTACTGGAGGAACAGCTCCTTTTTTGCAATTGGCAAAGCAGAGATGCAACAGTGTAATGGTGGTATGTGTCTTAGGACAAGCTACTAATTTTCAAAATGATTTTTTTTTTCAATATTATTGAAATATTATCAGTAACTTAATTGACTAAGTCAAATCATATAGATTAATAAAAGATACAAATTTTTAAGGATTTTCTGCTTAAAGTTGATAACAACATAACATTTAAAATAAGAATTTTACAGTAAAGAAAAAATTGCATCTTATCTAGTAATGATTCATATAAAGTTTGGTGGAAGGTTATTCCAGTATCTAACCAACAAAATGTGTTAGTTCTTTTTATTCTAGATTTCCATTTTTTTAACTATGGGAAATGGCACGCAGTGCCTCAAACACCTTGAGAGATAATGCCCTACAATGGCAGCACTTCCCCTTATTTAAGCAATTTAGATAAAATGCAAATACAGCCATGCTTCTCAAAATCAATTGAATGGTGAAGGATGGTGAGAGAATAAAATTCTGTGCACTCTTGAACAAGGAGGAGTGAATGTCTATAGCAAGGGGTGCATATTCAGAAAGGAAATGCCATTATTAATTGACTGTAGATGCAAATAATCATTATATTATGTTTATTTCTGTCTTTTGTTTATGAGTTGTCCTTTTAATGTCTCCCTGGACAGTTCTCTATGTTACCTATATCAAAAGCCAGCACTGATCTCAGTTCAAAACCCAGTATAGTGTTGGATTTGTTTTATGGAGCATAGCATATACACATTCAGGAGAGTTTAATTTTAGGAGTTACTATCTTTGTTAAGGCTTTGTTTGGTGTATGTGAGTAGCTTTTCTTATCATGCCGTTTTAGTTTATGACTGTTAATGTTGCTCTACTGTTTAGGACATTGGAGGAAAAAAAAAACAGACTCCAAAGGTTATTCTCAAATGAGTTGTAATGTCCTTAATATGCGCACAGACTTGCTAGTTTATATTTGTATGTTGAGGCCTGTTCTAGAGTGCCCTGATTTCCCCCAATGCTGCCCTGTGGTTGTTCTACCGTTAAAGCAAAAGTAAAGGATAGGTTATTTGCTAATTCAGCTTGAAGAAAACTAGCAAATTTACATTTCAGAGAGTTCGCCTCAATCCTTTTGTTCCATTGAGAATTTTTGGTTTAGAATGGAAATGTTCCAAAAGTGAATCACTCCTCTGTCTTAGTCATTGAATTCTTAGTTTTGCTTAAAATGAGTAGTGAGGATGTATGTTTAAAAAGTGAATACTGATGTGCTTTGACCATAACAGTACTATTTTTTTTATAATTCTTATGATTAAACACCCGATGGTAGGTATCTTATAATATTTGCTTAAAAGATGCTTAAAGAGACTTGAAACTAATTTCATATTTTCCTATTGACCAACTATAGGGATATATAAAATAGCTAAATCCAATTTGATGTTTAATTTGTCTACAATACCATAATATGTCACAAATAGTTCCCTTTAAAATGAAATGTGTAGGTATATGTTAGTATGCCTGTTTATGTCATCTTCTGTGAAACTCTGCATTTAGCTTTGCTTTCAATTTATCACTGATGTTTGTAATGAAATCTGGATTAAAACCAGATGTAATCAAGCCCTCCTCTGCAACTACTTTACCCATATTTTATTTCAGGTCTTGAAGAAGATATCAGGCTACATCCAGGAGCAGAATGAGAAGATCTACGCCCCAAGAGGTCTGCTGCTCACAGACCCCATAGAGAGAGGAATGAGGGTTGTATCCTTCACTCAGCAGCTGCTATGCTTTCTGCTTTATCTAGACATTAGATTGACAATTGAAAATACTGACTATAAGCAATCTAGTTATTAGAGTATATCACATCTGAAAAACAGAGTTTGTACAGTGCATTTGAATAATAAATTTTAAATGCTAATTCTGCATGGTACCAGCTCAACATTTCCTTATATTCAGTGATATTTTGAAGTAGTCTATATGTACTGTCTGCTGTTTTTGGGAAAGGAAGCCAGCTCCATGACAAAGGTTGGACTTTCTTATACTCTAGATTGGTCTGTTGGGAGATGGGCTGGAAGAGAGGGTTACACGCCTTCAGCTTAAGGCCGGGGAGACATCACTGACTTTTGTTTCTTCCTATCGGCTGAACAGTGGTATTGTGTATAAACTTTTTGGGTTTTTGTAAAAAAAGACCCTTCATCGTTTACCATACTTCAGCATTAATTATTTCAGTAGCTGTTAGGTTATTTGGGGGATTTTTCTTTTAGCTCTGTTGACCTCTAACTTAATCTAATTTAGCAGAGAGGCAGAAAACTGTTCGAGAAAGAAAAGGGGATACACAACCATAGAGAACTTTTAGTTTTTCTTTCACTTCTTAATTAGAATAAGTTCATTATAAGCATACATACCACATATTTTTCCTGTCTGACTCTTGTTAGTCAAAACTTTGTCTACTGTCGTTAGGATGCAGATGGCTTTATTATGATAATTGTAAGGGATTACAGAGTAATATTAGAAACTAATGTTTTTTTTTTCATATCTTGTATGCTTTTTGTTATCTTTATTATTCTTGACAGTCATTGCGTCATCAGCTAGAGATTAGCATTTTTGAAGATCAAGGCTCAAGTGGCTCCAGTCCTAGCAGCGGCATGTCATCATGTAGCACTGCTCGATGACTGGAGGGGCAGCACCAGGCTTACGGGTACCAACACAGGGGCAGCGAGACACTCACTAGCATCCGCATGCTGAAACATGAGAGCACCAGATTCTAAAGAAAAGCATCAAGACAGAAAGCCATGGAGGTAATCCAGAAGTACAGACCTCTTCCTGCTAAGAGCTTCAACTAACTACCCTGAAAGAAGGTTCTGGATCTACAAAAGCTGTAGCTACTAAACAGGATTAAAGGTCATAGCTACAACTTTTTCATCTAAATTATTTTTTTTTTAATAATTATTCCTCATAAAATCTGGAGTGGTGCAGAGTAAAGGTATTAATTCCATTGAAAAACTTATATATGGTCTATAAATAACTGTTTTATAAAAGTTGCTTGGTCCAAAATTAATAAATATTTACTTCTGCTTCTGATGGCAAAGTCGACATCAAAGGATTCTGTACCAATCAAATTAGTAGGTGGAAGTCATGTGAGACAGTGCTCAGACATTGCCAGATTCTTATAGCCCCGTAATATAGCTGGGAAATAACTTCTTTCCGACCAGCAGGTGTTAAAATTGTAGCTATTACCTTTCAAATATGTCAACAGATTTCACATATCATCTTATGAGAAAATGCAGCATCCAGTGTCTCTTAAACTCTTAAAAAGTTATCCAAGGTAATCCTTGTTAACCCATTTCATCCTGTCTTTTACAATAAGTCACATATTGTACATTTTAGTGTATCCTGCAAGTTCATCTTTGATCAGAACTGTCGTCAGTGTGTGAATAGCATCATTTTACTGTCATTGTTATTATACTGTATGCTCATTCACAGTCTGGGTATTCACAAGTCTTTGTAACAACTCCGCCACTATGAGCAGAACTTACTGCTTCCCAGCAGACATATTGTTCTTGTTTCTTACACTTGTTTCAAGTAGTTGAGGTCAAGTTGTATTGAATGTGGGCAAATTAAGGCATGGGGTATTAGGTAGAGGTATTTGGCATAAATATCTAGCTGGGACCAGTTTGATTCCTTTATCTTTTTTACTCTCAAGAGTGGATCAAGTGATCTGCATAACAGCTGCAGGTCACGCCTTGGCACACACATGCAGACATATTCAGATAATATACCCAACCACTGCATATGAGGGCAATAAAGGGGACATGTGCACATCAGGTATATGCATAGACACTCATGTGTATGTAACATGTACTTATGTACTCATTTTATAAACCCAGAAAATATTCAATATGGTTTTAGCTTACTGGGAACCTCAGACTCTATTATAGTTTTGATGTCTGGCAGTGTTTATGATTTTGACATCAGTTGCAGTCTGGTTTGAGATGAAAGCTTGCAGAATTAACACTGTCAAAACCTTTTCCCTAACAGACTTGGTGGCTTCTTAGGAAAGCTGAAAGAGTGTGGGTTGTTATCCGTGGAGCTGGAGACTGTACAGTCATTAAGCAGAGAAATGTGTTCCAGTTTGTGTGTAGGAGCTTGCAGGAGAACCGGCTAACAGAGATCTCAAGAAATTAACCTCTTTTAGCCTGTTTTTCCTTGCTGTTGTGTAGATACAGGTTGAATTAGAAATTCAAACACAAAAAAGGCAATAGATAATCTACAAATGTACTGAAACGAACTTGGACACTATTCTATAAAGACATGAATGACAGCTATGTATAATTTCAATAAGGGTTTTCCAAAAAAAGAAATTTGAAAACAATCCACTGGACTTTGTTTCCAAGTTTGAAGATGTTTCGCTTGTCAGGAATAGTGTTGAGTTTGAGGTTTTCTACAGTAGCCCATCAAAATCTTGTTTTTGTTTTGAAAACATGCAAATTGAAACAGACGAAGGGGCCCACTCCTTTGGAATGTGGGTCGTTTGGCTTCTTTTGTTAGCCTGCAATGCCCCATACCTGTCTAAGTGTCTGAAAGGGGTGTTGTTAAAGGGAATTGTTGGCTTGGCTGAAAAGGTGAGTTCCACTGCTCTCCTGTGCAGGGGCTGGGACTGCGATGATAGCAGGAAGGGGTTAACCCAATTGCTGCATTGTAGGTATTTAAAAAGCTGAAACCTGGATCCACCCCCTCTGTTTATGGCTAGTTTTTCTTTCATAGATGGCTTCCTTCACGCCCCTCTCCAACCACTAACCAATAGGGGTGGTTGTGGGTAAACGATAATTTTTAATTATTGCTCATATATTAAAGATATATAAATCAATATAGAAAAAACACAATTCCAATTCTTTTAAATATTTAAAATTTCAGCATCATAGGGAGCATCATTATTTGAAAGAAATTAAATAAAGTTATGTACCTTTTAGTTGTTGTGTAAAAAACATGATTACTTTAGGATTAAGTTTATTATACCCTGGGAAATGGCCTTGTCTAAGAGTCTCAAGTGTACAAAACCACATAAATATGATGCCAAAATTATGTAAGTAGTTAAAAAGTTCAGGCTTCTCAAGAACCTCAGATGTACATAATATAAAAAAAATGTAATTCTAAAGTATGAGTTTTATCCACTACAAATCTTAGCTGAAACAACGCTAAAAGAAAAAAATGGCTCACACTTTGCCTCTTAAAGGTATACTATGCAACCGGTGTTGATTTTCCAGCGAGGCTCCCCCCAGAGGGCGAAAGTAAAAGTGCACCGTTGTAAATATGCTCAGCTGTTCTCCTGGTTTCTCCGTCAAGCCAGGTGCGGTTGTTTTGAGCTTAGCAGAGAGGCGAACGCAACGAATCACCATGTCTACTGCGGTAAGTGACTATTTTGTTGTTTTGTTTTCATACATTATTTGTTATGCATGTGTCTAAATAACAAAGATTGTAGTTAGCCAAATTCTCGCCGTAAAGCAAGACTGACTCTCGCGATGCACGAGACTTCTGAGCCTGTGGGTGCGGGCCGAGGGCTCCTGCAATTGCAAGTGCGGTATTTCCCCTACAGACCACCAGGGCGGCCAAGAAAACCTTTGTTCGACCTGAAATGACTCATTTAATCATCCAAAACGTTATGGAACACATTAATTAACTGAAAAATGTTGCATAGTATGCCTTTAAAGGGGAAAATTCTGTAACCTGTTCAAGTAGTGGCCATAAATTTGGGGTTTCCGGAATGCTTGTGCAGACAGACTGTCAACATAAAAACCATCTTGTATTTTGTCTATGTTTGTCTTAGTTAGTTTATAGTTTGTCTGCATGTTACTGGAGAAGCTGGTACTGTCATTTAATAATGAATGTTTATAGTTACAAATACCATTTCTGATCTGATGTATGTTATTGTTTTGATCATTTTCCTAGATAGTGTACATTATTTAACCCCTTGGATTAATGGTTAAAACCTGCTTTATACCACAGCACTTGAGTTTAGCTGCTCTTGAATTTGACCTCCTGTGCTTTGATTTTTTGATGCCTCCATGTTTCATCACAGTGAAATGGCTGTCCAACCTGGTGCTGATTGACTGACCAATTTATTATTGATTTAACACTGCCAGACGGCACATGAAGGAACTTGTTGGACAATGATTAAATGAGTTTGAACTATCTGTGCAGTTATACATCTGTAGCTTTAATTGTATACATATGTCAAATGTAGGATGTATTCGATGTGCCATAAAATGTTGCAATTTTATTAGATGTTATTAATTACTAAATATTAATTTTATATCTAGATGGTCATCAAAAAAGAAGGAAAGGCTCGTTGTAGAGTTAATACTGGTTTGTCAGTTCTTTTTATACTGTAGCTAAAAATATATAGTAATAACAAGGATAACAAAGATGATCATTATCCTCAGGGAAAACTCTTAACAGGCCCAACTTTATATGGTCTTAATTGAGTGTAGCAGTGCTTGTAAATGCATCATAGTTATTTATTTAGACATATTCTGCATCTAAAGTACCTCAATCAAATGGGTGATTTAACTCTTCAGCAAATGAATGGCTCATTACTAAGCCTATCCAAGTTTTGAATAGGTCTAGTAATGAGCCATTCATTTGATACAGATGTTTGGGATCTGGGTTGCATCTAAAAGTTGCAGGAGAGTGGGGGACTGGAGTAGGAGAACCCTGAGATCTTTTAATTGAGCCATATATCTATTCAAGCTAAAACATTTTCTATAGAAGACATTGTTTCTGAAATCACATGGTAAATTTCCTCTTAAATTTCCAAACACAAGTACACTAAGATTTTCAACTATTAAAAAAATCTGTTTCCTATAATATAAAAATTTACAAAAATATTTTTATTTTATTTTTTTTTTAGTAGGGCATTATTCTTTGGGTTTGCTTACTAGTCAGCTGTTGCTGTTAAAATCCTGATAGAGGAGGAGGACAGTTTTTTCCAATGCCATTTTATAAGAAACTGTCATCTTACAATACACCGTATAAGCTGTTCAGTTTTCTTCAGCAGGATGAAACAGTTTTGAGCTGTCAGTATTTCATCTATAGTTTAGAATGACCAATCTAATTTGGGAGATTTAGATGTGAGCAAAGGCAGAAGGGTTGGAACCAGAAATAACAAATAGGAAAGTAGCATTTAGGTGCATGGAAAAGTCTTAAAAGTTGGTTTTATGTTTCAGTGCTCTAGCAGTTCCACTCCCCTAATAATTTGACTTTAAGACACATTAGTTAAACTTTACTGAAAAGGCCAACAAATATGTGCAGTAAAAGAAAACTGGCACTTTTTTGGTAATAATAACAATACATTTTATCTAAAGCGCCTTTCAGGACACCTAAAGACACTGTACAACATATAACAACATATTTGAAGGTATACATTCCTGAAGAGATTGATTTTAAACAGAGGTAAAGTTTTCTATATTATGAATATCAGGTGGGAGGGAATTTCAGAGTTTGGGAGCAGAGCGGGAGAAAGCTCAACAAGGTGGATGAAGGATTGTGGAGGGGTAGCAAGCTGAAGGAGATCTGAGAGGTATGTTGAAGCAAGATTATGGGTGACGTTGAAAGCAAACAGGAGAATTTTGAATAGAATTATGAAGGTGTCAGAAAGTCAGTGAAGCTCCAGTAAGACTGGGGTGATGTGATGAAATGAGGGGGTTTAGGTAATTAAACAAGCTGAGGACCAACTGAAGCTTATGAAGAGATTTCTGAGGGAGACCAAAAAGAAGAGAGCTGCAGTATCAATGTGGGAGGCTATAGACGAGAATAGAAGCAGCATGCTGGGGAAAAGACAGATAAGGACAATGAATATTTCGTCTGTGAAAATAGGCAGAACAGGTAATGTTACTGATGTGGGAGGTGAGTGAGAGAGTCCTATCAACGATGACACCCAGATTCTTGACCTGAGGAGAGGGAGAGATGGTAGAACTGTCAATCGGAAGAGAGAAACTGTCAGTCTTGGTTAAAACTGACTAACAGGAGGATCTCTGTTTTGTTGCAATTTGGTTTAAGGAAGTCAGAGGTAAACCAGGCTTTAAGTTCCGGCAAGGTAAGTGAGAGATGAGGAAGGGAGTTTGGAGATTGGCTTAGAGCTGGGTGTCATCTGCATAATAATGAAAATTCTGAAAGATGTTACCAAGTGGCAGAAGGTAGACCATAAAAAGTAGGGGCCCAAGACAGAGCCCAGAGAAACACGGGTTGTGACAGGGGATGGATCTGAGTATAAGGACTTAATTCATATGAAACAACGGAAGAGAGGCAGGAACGGAACCAGTGGAGGGGGATGTGAGTAATGCCAATTGAGGAGACACTTTTTAAGTAGATCTAAATTTTTCAAACATATAGATTTAAAAATAGGAATTAATCTTTTCATGAAGATCTATTAGGCACAGAATAACATATTTTTTTAATAACATGAGACTTATGGCATGGAGCTATTTACCTTTTGACTTCTGTTCAGCAGTGACACAGGCTATGCCGCAGTGCTGTAGTGAGTCATACACAAGGAATCTTGACATGCTATTAAATTCATATGCTAAAAATTTAATGGAAATATTCTTTTGGTCGATTGATATAAATATTAAAAATATTTTAATAATTTTTTTTTGAAAGTCTAATTTTCTGAGAATTTGGGGTTCTTATTAGATACAAGCCCTAATGGTCAAAGTATATAGAAATGAGCCCCACTTGTATAGTGTTTGCAAACATAGAACTGCCTCTAAATGGAACATAATATTTGTTTAATATTTCTCTACTCGTTTATAGGAGCCTAATTATGTGCTATGATAAAAAACAAAACCAAAAAAAACATATGTCAATGTTAAAGCAATATACGCCAAGCGTGTTTATTCAATCCCTTTTGAGCATGCAGGTAATTTTGCACAAAGCATGATCCTCGACATACATTTCATACACTCTCACCTTCTGCTGACAGTACTTACCTATTCATCATAAACTTGACATTTGACGTTATGAGCTCCAACTTCAATTCAAAAGTCACTTTTTCCACATTTGATCTTTTTCTTTCACTTTTCACACATTCAGTGGTGAAATGCTAGCTTGCTTGGCTCCATCACTTCCTTGCTTACTCATTGCATGCATACACAATATTGTACGTCATGAGGTCTTTCATGGTAAAATATGCTAAATGTTTGCTAGCAAACAGATAAAAAACAGACTAATACAAAGAAATAGAATAAGCCCAAAGACCCCATAAAATATTGATATTACCCTTGTATGCAGCCAGAGTGAGCCACTGGTGAAAAATTTGTAATCATAGTACATGACTTAGCTCTTTGGATGCTCTTTGGCTTAAAGTAAAACAAGTAAATTAAAAGGGGAGGCCCATTAAACAGACTGAAAACATTATAGAGCGGGTAGTGAAATAAGTAGTGGTATTAAAGAAAGTCTCAACAGATATAGCAACCAACCAAGGATCCAAAAATGCACACACATTTCTGGTATATTATTTAAAGAATGAATTACAGTTTAAAACCACAATCAAAAGGAAGATTATAATATATTTCACTAAGAAATGTTTCCAAAAGGCTAGCTAATTCCAAAAAGGCTTAGAAAAATAAGCTAGGAATTACTTTTGGACACTTGGTCTGCTGCAAATTCTCGCAGCACACCACAGATTATCAAACAGTCAATCCGGTATTAATAGAAAATCTGTTGATTTATTTTTTATTTTTTTGTCTGAAAAACTCTGTTGATATTTTTTGCTGCATGGTGTTTGTATAAACACGGAAGAAGAAAATAGAAGAAAAGAAATGCTTCATCAAAGATATGTATGTGCTGCTAGGAAAAACATATTTTAATGTGGTTCAGATGTTAACATTTGGTTACAAAAATGTTAAATAAAAGCATTTTACATAAATATTTTAAAAGTTGGATTAAGAATAAAAGCCTGGGAAGAAGTGTCTTTACTTTCTAAAAAGTATATGGTAAGACTTTTTTTTTTAAAGGGACTGATTGTTGTCAAGTTGAACAAAATAAAATGTGTTTGGCTAAAAAAAACTCGGTGTAATTGGTTGTTCATTTAGGAATTAATTTGGAATATCTTGGATCTTTGGAAATATAAGAAGGTAAGCACCCACAAATTGTCAATATTACAGAGGGCCTGTCTTGGTGTGTTTGATAGAACAAAGTGATCAATTTTTCACAGCATGTATCTCTGTTGTTTTTAGTTTTGTTGTCTGAGTAGCAGCTGTAAAAAT